AGAGAGAGAGAGAGAGAGAGAGAGAGAGAGAGAAGGAGGGAGAGAGAGGGAGAGAAAGAGAGAGAGTGGTGAATTTTCATCAGCAAGTTCAACTATTACCCACTGTTGAAATAACCTACTTTTCAAATGATAATAATAATATATAGAGTTGCAAGTATAACATACAATTATGATTTATGTCAAAACCTCAATATCGTGTGTCAATAACCGCCACAGGGGTAACGACATATCGGTGGAAATAAAGCGACTAGCTAATAATTATTTGGAAACACTTTTTTTCTGAATCTTTCAACCGATTCTCTTTTTCTAAAAGCTTGGTCTCGGCAGGACGAAATAGTAAATGGGTGAATCAGCATTCCAAATCTACGACCTATTGAAATAGAATGGTTTAAACGGGAAAAGCAGCTTTGAAATGGCTATATCAGAAAGGCACAAACTAGAAAAATGGGTTTATAAATTTAGATGGCTTACCCGTAAAAAGGCGCGCTGCCATGGAACACACCGCGATGGCTCTTGGCAAATGCGTACAGGCTCTTAGCAGCGCCCAGAAGACGGTCAGCGTAGCCGGAATCTGTGTCAGATAAAATATGCCACCTTGTTATTTGAAGACATGGAATAACACCAAGTGGCTAGCCCAGGATAGAGAAAGGTGGAAGGTGTTTGTCCGTGGCCTATACCCTGGTGAAGTGTGAGAAAGGCAATGGTGAAGATGATTTTATTTGAAACAAAACCCAGGTACGTTGATATAATACGAGACAAAAAGTGATAAAAAGATACAATACACTAAAAAAGAAACTATATTTAAGATTGTATAAGGCACGATAAGAAAAGATGAGTGTAAAAAGGACAAGCCGATTGTGTCCCTGCCATTCAATATCAGTCATATGAAGGAAATTTCAAAACTGAGTTAACATTTTTTTTAAACTATCATCTTTTCCCCAACAATTTAAAACAAGAATGAAGTAAATAAGATATGAACGAATAATATTGAGATGAATAAGAAATGATGAAAAGAGAATTTAAAACATTAGGTGTTTTATCGACTCAATATAATTCATTTAGGAGCCAGGTTTTAAATCTGCCTTTCAGGGTCAATCCTGGCAAAGAGGGCTACAGCCTCACAATCTACCTCCTCACCGTCAGAGGCATGGCATATGTCTTTCGTTTCTATAAGAGGCAGAGTCTTTGAATGTAACTTCCATCTCTGACAAAACTGTACGAAACGCACAGGGAGCCTTAAAACTCTAAAAGCAACCACATTTCACTAACAACCAATTGAAGATTCGAAACAAGGCTATTCTTACCATAGCCCAGAATGATACCGACTTAGCTAACCGAATTCCTGTGCAGAAGATTGTAAGGGATTACTGTGTGTTTCTTTGTTGTGTGTTTCTTTGTTTGAATAAGGAGAAGGACATTGACACAATAATGGTCATTTAGTGCTTTGGAAAAGTAATGCATACAGACAGATTGATCAGAGGGAAAATTAAGAAGTTATGGAGGGCAATAGAGCCCGCGACATTACTGTCTTACCTTTACTTCAGAAGGCGATTAATAGAACCCTCGGAATTATTGCCTGACCTTCACTTTACAAAGCGATTGAACCCACGACCTGAATGCCTTACCTTCACTCTAGAAGTAAAGCCAATAGAACCCGTGGCACTACTGTCTTACATTTACTCAGGAAGACGATGATTATCGCGATGTCACTGCCTTACCTTTACTCCTGAAGGCAATGGATCCAGCGGCGAGGGCAGCGGCCGTCTCACCAGCTATGTCACTCCCAGGGGTGCCACCATTGACGTACTTACAGGGACGGGCCATGTTCATGTCCTCTGGCCGGCCCCAGAACGCGTGGTCAGCATTGCCGTCACCGACCTGTGTAAGATGAGATAAGATAAGGTACGATAAGCTATTATACGATAATAGAAGACAAGACAAGGTAAGGTAAGATAAGATAAGATAAGATAAGATAAGATAAGATAAGATAAGATAAGATAAGATAAGATAAGATAAGATAAGATAAGATAAGATAAGATTAAATCAGTTTAGATGAGATCAGATGAGATGACCTGAGATGAGTAAAGATTGGATCAATCTGTATAGTCCAAATCAATCCTTACACATTAGCTTGGTGTTTCACCACGTGCACACATACACATACACACACACACACACACACACACACAAACACACACACACACAAACACACACACACATACACACAGACACACATATACACACACGCTGGTGTTGCATAGGTTAAAACTCAGATTTTTTTGGTGTTAGTAAGAGTTTTCGCCACCGGCAAAACAGGTCATATAAGTGCAGAAGATTAGAGGTATTACTTGCAAATAGAAGAAGGAGGAAAGATGAAGACGAAAAACGTTTGATAGGAGAGAAGGAGCGAACCACATCAGAGCAACAGTCAACCACCCACGTTAAAATCCACTAAAGTAATCATAGATAGATAGATAGATAGATAGATAGATAGATAGAT